CAAACCTGGAGTGGCCAAGGAATTCCTGGATGTGGCACAGCCTGGACTCAGTGGTCTGAGAGGGCTTTTCCAACCTGAATTATCCTCTGATTGTCTAATGAAAATAACACACCAATTTTCAATTCTATACTGGGAAGGGAATCCTGCTAAAATTAGTCAGAGATAAACTAGAAAAAACAACAGAGGAGACACTCTTTAAACAACAAAAACATAAAGGAAAAGAAACCAATCCTTGCTTTAAAAGCAGCTGTGCAAATACAACCCTTAAATATAATCTACTTAAAAATGCTGTAAGAATTGGAAGTGCAGCGATGGATTTCATCATCCATCTGATTTGTCTGCAGGGAACTCACCTTCAAACTGCCCAAGTGCTGCTGACTCAGTCTCCTCCTTGGCAAGAACCTAAGGCAGGGCTGCAGGGACAGAGTTAACAGGGCTGAGCAGGATGAGCACGAGGAGCTCACCCAACCCCAGACTGGGGAGGCAATGAGAGGAAAGAAAGAGAGGGGAAGAAAAAAAAAGTCTAGAATTTCTTGTGCAAATAATTTGGTTTTAAAAAGCTTTGCCCCAGGCTGTGAAGCCAGAGCAGGGTGACAGCATGGTGAGGCAGCCATTGGGAGCTGCTCTGTGTCAGCCCTTCCTGGAGCATCCTAGGAAGGGAAGAACTTCTTGGCTCTCACTGCAGTCCAGGGAGTGAGCCAGACTCTCCACCACTGCTGAGAGCAAGGCAACTCCAGGGTGGCAATATGAAAAGCAAAAACCCAAACCACAAACAAAACCAAAAAAAACCACTGAATGCTCCCCTCCCATGGTTCACTATGAATTTTAAAATAGGAGGTTTGGAGGAGCTTTGGCAGGAGGCAGAGATTAAGTAAATAATCACTGTGTGGGAACACAAGCTTTCCAATTTACCAAGTGCACTGTGGAGCTAAAGAGATCCCATACAGAGAAGTAATACAAATTAATTCAATAATGAGATGTTTTACTATTTACTTGGCTTATTTAATTGAGTAGGGGAGGTATCTTAAATATCAGGTTCAAGGCTCTTAAAGAAGGTATCAGTACAACAAAGGGAAGTGAAGGAACCAGAACACAGAGTGGTTGTTCTTGGTCAGTTTTTGCTTTGTTTTGCTTTTAAAGGCAGCTCCTTGTGGCTGCAAACTCCTCAAGATCAGATTTAGGCAAATTTAAAACTAAGAAGAACCCCCTATACCCACTCCACTTGCAGAGGTGTTCAGTCTGGCTTTGCATTTCTCAAAAAAATTCCATTCAACCATCCAAACAGTCCCCACCACTACTGGGAAGGACTTGGCAGAATGCTGGATTATGAAGGCAAAAATTGCATGGAAGTTCTTAGACTAAATAACATTTTATTTTATTATTATATATTATTTTATTTTATTAAATATTTGGAGTTTGCATGAATAATTTCAGAATGTATAGTCTAGGTTTCCTGTTCATGTAGTAAAACTTAATCCATTTCTAAACATTTCTGATTGAAGCAGGCTGAGTAAGAGGTTAAAACATGCAGGAGTGAAGTGATTGCTGCCTCTCCCTAAGGCAGTCATTAAGTTCAGGATCAGTTAGCAACTGTGGTGGAGATTTTTATCTAGAAAAACAGGTAAATAAAGTCACAAAACTTTGTGAAACCACAGTACCAAACGTGACAGAGCAACTGTTGAGTCCAACAAAAAGCAGAGCAGAAAACAGCTCTGTGGAGGTAATGTCTCTTTTTCCTGCAGTAGGAATACAAAGAAAATTCATTTTCTACACAGACTACACGGCCAGCAGAGTGACTTTGAAAATTAAGAATACTTTGTCCTTTCTCAACACCTTACCCAGGAAAAACCATCAGAAACACACTGCCCTGATATTCTGACCTTCAGAGCATATTTCAACTTCAATTCTATTTTTAAATTAATTGCTGGGAAAAGGCATGAGTCACAGCCCAGCTTGGATCCCCTGCACTGGACACTCACCAAGGGCTGTGCTCATTCTGAACTTTCCCAAGTCACAGCAGGCTCCTGCTTTAGCACCTCAGTGTGAAGAGCAAGGTTCAGCTCCCTCAGCCAGCCAGGAATCCTGGCCTCTGTGGCCACCTTGATCTCCCCAATTCTGGCACAGATGTTTGCTGCACACATCAGGCAGCTCTGGGCTGCTGCAAAGTGTTTCTGCCAGGAAGGGATCCCAGCTCAGCTGCACCTCCCCTGTGCTCAGGCTGTTCACTCCTATCTGCTGCCAGTGAAGGCCAACAAAACCTAAAGAGAGGCCTCAGGGAAGCACGGGTGAGAAACTCAGGCTCTGCACTTACAGGTACAGCTGGAATTTGGAGAGTGCCCAGTCAGGAACTTGGAGAAACTCTGTCCCAGCACTTGGAGAAGGGGAAATGTGCAAGCACAGAGGAACACATCATGTCTGGTCTGTCTGTCTGTCTGTGTCTGTCTGTGTGTCTGCAGGGCGGTTCTTGGGTGCCCCACGTTTCAAAGGACGAGTCTGGACCCTTCAGCTTTTCCATCTTCAGACTGTTTATTGTTTCTTATCTACAGAATTTTCTGTCTGCCCAGCAGAGGTCTGACCTGCAAGGCAGCCAAGGGCACTCTGACCACCCACGGGGCGGTCATGTCTTTTTATACTAAAATCTACGTACATGATATTTACCTTTATTTTCCAATACCTTTCACCCATGTTGGCAAGTGCACCTTCACCATGAACCAATCCCCAAGTGCCAACATCACCACAGGAGATGGAGGACAAGAAGAAGAAAGAAGAAGGACGAGACACTCCCTGATCCCTCCATCTTGTCTCCATAACCCCCCTGTACCAAAAACCTTAAAGTTTATATTTCACCCTCTAAATGTGTCCCTTTTACACCCTTCACTCTAAAGTGATTCTCATGTCCTCAAACTGCTGTCACTTCTGTGGATGGATCAAAATCAAGCCACCAAACACTCTTGGCAACATTCCAGGATTTCTGAGACCCCCAAGGGTTCTCCTGGCATCTCTGGACATCGGGAGTGATGTGCTGAGTTCCCACAACATCATACATGTGCTGATGGGGGCCAGCAGCCTGTGTGGCTCAGCTTTGTGCCCTCCCCAAACCGAGTTTAGGAGCAGCCAAATGATGATGTATGCAGTCACATTTTGGATTTTTTGATTTGCTCCTCTTCCTGTGTCAGCCAGTTCATTCCCTCTGGAGCAGGAGGCTGTTCCACACTCCCCTGGCACTGTGCATGTCAGAGGCAGTGAGGCCCATGCTGCTGACTCACCTACACAAACCCTCAGCAGTTTGATTGGGTCCAGGCTCTTCATTACAAAGAAGCCTTTTAAGACATCAGAAATAAATCATCTGCCTGGTTGCCTTTAATGAAAGCTCTGCTACACAGGAAAAAGGGGGAGGGAGCATGAAACAATATCCATGGTGGAACAGGCAAGCCAGAAAAGAGGGATGTCTGAAGAACAGAATGAAAGACTTGAGAATTAAGTCAAGAAGAGAAACAATCAAGTATGGAAATGGAGCAGGAAGGTATAAACAGGAAAGTTACAAATGGAATGAAAGGCTGAAGTGGCTTTTCTTTGGTGAAAGAACAACCACACCTCATTAGGACAAAGAGGCAGTAACTTATTCCCATGTCCCAGCTTCCCGTGCAACAATCCCCGGTTATTTTAGTGGATTACAGCTGGAAGAGCAGAAGAAATCATTTCCACACAACTGCTGGGGACTTCAAAAGCAGCTAACAAGGCTGAAATCAATCTCTCTTCTCTTAAAAGTTTTACATAGCAAAGCTCTGTAACAACTGCCCCAAGTAGTCTCTTAACAATGGTGAGGAGTTCACAACGAGCTGCTCAGGGCTATGATTCATTCGTGGCTCTCTGCCAGAAAAATAAATACATTCAAGACCAGTGGCCCCAAGGGGAAAGGTAGGCCACTCTTAAAAAGCACAGGATGAATGATTTACAGAGCAGAATCCAGTTTCCAGCCCATGTGGAAGAGGAGGAAGGACTTTTTTACATCTCCCAAAGATTTAGTGCACGGACTTGGACACTGGCAGTGCATCAACAGATGGAGAGAACTGGGAACTATCGAGCTGGGATTTGCAAAACTCACTCCAAAGAGCAAAAAACGACTTCTTATATTGCTGTGCAGAGTTCATAAAGCCAAAGCAAGCCTTGCAGTGGGTATCCAGCGACACAAGACAAACACGGGCAGCTCAGGTTACAGGAAGTGCAGGACAGAGGGATCCTCTGGCACAGGGACAGTGCCAAACAGCTCAGGGCTGGGCAGGGCCCGACTGCACACACACAGAGTTCATCAGCTGCTAAACAGCCAGCAGAGCTTCACTTTCCCCTTTCTCCCCACAAGAACGTTATTCCTGGTAAATGCTCGGGCAGCAAGGTGCAGGATGGAGCTGGGCTGTCACTGTGGGAGTGAGGCCAGCCCATCTCACACCACACTGCGGTGTCTCTGCCCTCTCAGGCTCTGAACCCCCATTTCAGCAGCCTTCAGAAACACCTAACCCCACTTCTAAGAGTGGCTTTAGCATTCAGAATATTCTCTTTAATGGTATTGCTAAGGGCTTTTCAAAGAAAGCTGCTTTGAAATGCTAGCAACTGCATTACAGCGTGAAAAAATTCCAGATTTACCTGGAAGTGGCTGAAATACCCTAGTTCCATTTTTTATAATATAAACTGCTCAAACTGGGGGCTTTGCCTCTTACTAATAGGGCCAGAGAATGCCAGGGCCATACAAACATTCTTTGCCCCCATACAAAGGTTGTACCATCAGCAAAGGGACATTTGAGGGGATTTGTTTCACAAATTCTATCCCCAATGGATAATGCAAAGTATGAGGAACCTGCCTCTGACCTTGGAAAGTTTGATTGATTTCCTATTTCACAGTTACTATTTCCTGAGTCTGGATTAAAATTTCAAACTCAAATATTTAAAAATGAATCAATATTTAAAAGTTTCCCCGTGATTAAAGCAAGCCTGTGTGAGTCCTATTACATACAACAATGTATTTTTTATTGTCTTGCTTAAATTTATGCTCTGAAATTCTCCCTGGAAACAATTAGCAGGCAACTTCATTGAAATGATGTATATTTTAAAGTGAGATCACTAAATCAAATGTAGCTTGAGAGATGGCCCTGATGATCACATAATACACAAGGAAAAAACCCAAACATGCTGATCAGGAAAGATCCATTTTATTTCCTTTTTTTTAGCCATTAAATTATTTTTATCATTGACAGTCTCACAAGGGAAATGAAACCTTACCTGAGTTTATTTCTATTAAGGAAAATTTCCCAAATTAGCAAACCCACCTGAGTCAGTGTGAAAAATATTCTATTTATAAAAGATCCTCCCAGTTTCTAGCAGCAGACATGGATCCTGCCAGCCATGGCCATTCCTTCATGGCATGATTAATGCAACAAGCCATGTCAAACTCAATTCTCTTTGGTTTAGCTCATTTAACGGGAGCTCAAGTTTCATCTTTGTGGGCAGTATTTTAAGGGAAAAAAAAAAGATAATCAAAGAAGTAACCAACTTGTGCTTTTGTTCATAATATTCCAAATTTTCAAGTGTTTTGATGAAATCTTCTGCCAAACAACAAACACTGCATAAGTGTGCCCAAAGAGATCCCTGGAATTCTGATTTTCCTTCCAACTCTGGCCCTTGTGATAAAGGCCATGAATTGGGCACTTTTCATCTCAGCCTCACGAGAGGAACACACTATTTCATTATTATGAAATATCCTTATCTATGAATATTATTAAATATCCTTATTAAAGGATGTGACAGCTGCCAAGCTGCTCTTTCCCCTCTCCCACACTGTGGCAGTTTTTGGGATTCAAGATGCCACAGGGAGCATCCTCAGAGGAATTCCAAGGATGAACCTGGCAGGGCAGCAATGTCAGAGGGCAGGTTCATATCTACTGAAATCTCAAGGGATTCTCCAGTTCTGGAAATCCCTAAAAGAACTAAAGTTGGGATATTGGTGATTTTGAGACTCTGAGGGTATTTGGGGAAGTAAAGCTGCTACCACCACATAAAAAATGAGTAATTTGGGTTTTAATCCATCTGTACAATCAACCTTTTTTACTTAAGGTTCTTCAAAATACACAGGAAAATTCATTTCAGTATTTACAGCTAGAATTCTTTTGCCCCATTGCCAACAAACCTCCCATTAAAAAAGTTCCTATTTCATTAAGAAAATTGGGCATGTAAATCATCAGAACAGACTTTTTAAATACACTGTAATCTTCTCAAGTATGCAAAGTCACATCTGCAAAACATTTAGAGAAAAAGTACCATTTATTTACCCATACACAGTATGTACAGACTCAGGATGGCTTCTTTAACTCTCCCTTTGCCATCTTATATAATTTCTTCAAACTGTAGATCACAGATTTCTTTGCCCCTAAAAAGGAAGAAAAAAGAGAAAATAAAAATATGAACATTTAGCAGAATGTGCTTAGTGCATCAAATGAAGGATTTCCCTGGGGGAATGACAGCCTAATCCAGCAGGCAGACATGCAAACAACCTTCCTGTCACAGGCAGAGCACAGGAAATAATGCCACCAAAAACACTTTTAATGCTATCAAAGCTGAGCAAATAGAGCCAAATTCTGCTAAATTCCATGCCATGGCATACAATAAAGGGAGACATCTCCATTTGCAGAGCTGCAGCAGTTGTTGCCTCCAAGCATGAATGAGTTTTAGATATGATGGAACTGAGTCCCACAAAATTTGTAAAATGGATCCTTGGAGTTCAACAATTTCTGAAGTTCTCTTACAGACCTGGAGTAAAAACCCACAGCCTTTTGCTGGGTTTAGTCACAGGGTATTTATAAATTTGAAAACAAATCACTGTTAGTCTTGGCATTTCAGGGGGGTTCTGAGATCCCAGCCAATGCAGCCACTTGCTTTTCCCTTTTTTTTGTTCAAAAAAATCACCCCAAACCAAACAAATAAACCCAAACCAAGACACAGAGTGACTGCTTAGCTCACAGCACAGTCTAATCACACCCTCACAAATTCAGAACTGAAAAAGCAGCTTTAGTGCTGCACAAAAAGCTCTCATTTTGACACGTGCACAGATTAAAGGTGCAGTAAATGATATTTACTACAATCTTTCCTATGTTTATTTAATTGAACACCTGGCAAGACTGACTAAGAACACACAAGGAATTTAGCCAGAAGTCACACAATGTCACAGCCCAGAACACAAGGAAAGATTTGCAACAAATAGGAAACCACAACTCAAGTTTAGCCATGTGCTGCACTGGATTTCTTGAATTTTTTGGGGACTGAGAGGGAGGGGCATACTAATACCTGATTTGGAAAGACCTCAAAAAAAAAAAGGAAAGTGAAAGAAAGAAATCAATTAAAGATATATTTTAAGTGATAGATGCATTCAAATTCAAGTTGCAAGAAGACAAATTAGTTGGCAGCAAGAAGGAGAAGTGCACACTCTTCTGAAGGAATGTGGCAGAGTAAGAAGGCTCTGATCACAAACAGAATCAGTTCTGCACTTCTCATGTCTTCAACTGCAATTTAAATAAACTCAGCTTCACCTTGGGTAGGAAAACATCCATCCCTGGATTTTGAACTGACAAACCCATGTGCATCCCATGGGTAAGCTCCAACTTTTCCATATTTACCAGGTTTTTGCAAAAGCAAGCACACTAATGAAGTCATGTCAGGCTTTTCTTTGCAGCATCTCCAATAACAAGTAAATAACCACAGAAACCCTGAAGTGCCTGACAAATCTGCATGGAGATTGCACACAGACCAACAATTCCTGCAGCAGCACAAAGCCAGGCTGAGCTCTGGCCCAGCACAGCACAAATGTTAAAAAAGGTCAAATTGTGGAAGAGTGGCTCTGGAAATGCCCAAGCTGCAGATGCAGCACCTCAGAGAGAGGAACTGCTGCTCTGCCACTCCAGTGAATTCCAGGGGCTTCTGGAAGTGCAGTGCAGTGTGTGGGAGATCCAGGGCAGCACAGCTGCTGCAGGACTGCAGGGAAGGGTGCAGGGAATGGTGCAGGCACTGCAGGGACACTACTGCAGGACTGCAGGGAAGGGTGCAGGCACTGCAGGGAAGGGTGCAGGGAATGGTGCAGGCACTGCAGGGACACTACTGCAGGGAATGGTGCAGGCACTGCAGGGACACTGCTGCAGGACTGCAGGGAATGGAATGGTGCAGACACTGCAGGGACACTGCTGCAGGACTGCAGGGAATGGAATGGTGCAGACACTGCAGGGACACTACTGCAGGACTGCAGGGAAGGGTGCAGGCACTGCAGGGAAGGGTGCAGGCACTGCAGGGACACTGCTGCAGGCACTGCAGGGAATGGTGCAGGCACTGCAGGGACACTGCTGCAGGACTGCAGGGACACTGCTGCAGGCACTGCAGGGAATGGTGCAGGCACTGCAGGGAATGGTGCAGGCACTGCAGGGAATGGTGCAGGGAAGGGTGCAGGCATTGCAGGGAATGGTGCAGGCACTGCAGGGAACGGTGCAGGGAAGGGTGCAGGCACTGCAGGGAAGGGTGCAGGCACTGCAGGGACACTGCTGCAGGCACTGCAGGGACACTGCTGCAGGCACTGCAGGGACACTGCTGCAGGACTGCAGGGACACTGCTGCAGGCACTGCAGGGAATGGTGCAGGCACTGCAGGGAAGGGTGCAGGCACTGCAGGGAAGGGTGCAGGCACTGCAGGGACACTGCTGCAGGACTGCAGGGAAGGGTGCAGGCACTGCAGGGAAGGGTGCAGGCACTGCAGGGAATGGTGCAGGCACTGCAGGGACACTGCTGCTCTCAGCCTGCAGAGAGATAGATTCCTGCTCTCAGCTGCAGGGAATGGTGCAGGCACTGCAGGGACACTGCTGCTGTCAGCCTGCAGGGAGACAGATTCCTGCTCTCAGCCTGCAGGGACACCACTGCTCTCAGCCTGCAGGGAATGGTGCAGGCACTGCAGCCTGCAGGGACACTGCTCTCAGCTGCAGGGAGATAGATTCCTGCTCTCAGCCTGCAGGGACACCACTGCTCTCAGCTGCAGGGACACTGCTGCTCTCTGTAGGGCGACAGAACATGATTACACAAAGGTAGTGTAGAAGGTAATCTTACCCCCCTAAAGAGCTGCAGCTGGGTTAATTATTAAGGATTAGGAGCAGGCCTGATGTTAACAGGCCACAGCTGTAGGCAATCAGAAGAGTGCTATAAAAGAGTGGATTGGTGGGCACTGGAGTCAGTTGTCTCCTACAAGGACAAGGACGAGGCATTGCCTGGAGGAGCTCCCTACAGAAACATCAAGGAGGTGAGAAACCCTGGCAGCATGGAACCCTCGCACTGTAATGACAATAGAGCTCGTGCACTACAACGACAGCAGCTCCCAAGCTGCAGGGACGCTGCTGCTCTCAGCACATCCCTCCCGTCCCTCCGAGCTCCACCCAGGGCACGGAAGGAGCCGCTGGTCCCGTTGCTGCCCAGCTCAGGTTTGTCCATCCAGCTCAGCTGCTCCCCAAAGCAGCCCCTGGGCTGATGAATCACAGCTGCAGGAGAAGTCAATGGCTGTAATTACGGCTCTCTCTCAGAATCTGAAGCACTTGGACCACATGAAAATGTCTTTGACTCCAGCTCTGAAGCTGCGACTCGGTGGTTCCACCTCCCCTTTAGATTTTTCCACTGCAGGACACAGAACAAAGGCCTGATGCACATGGGACCGAGCCCACAGCGTTTGTGTAAACACAACCCGTGTCTGGTTTCACTTAACGATCCACGCTGAGCTTTTTGCAAGTGCTGCTGCTGGAAACCAGGGTTTGCTTGGGAATCCCCCAAAGTGTCCTGCTAGGACTGCCTTTGTACGGATGTCCTGCTGCACAGCTGTCCTGGGGAGCAAATCATTCTATATCTGTAGGGTGGCATGCAGATAGATGCATATTTACAGATATGTACAGATAATGCATATTTACAGATATTTACAGCACATCTCTGCCTGCCTGCAAGTCATAGCACAACACTTAAAGTGATGGAACACACAGGGATAACAGTGAGGCTTGGTAATACAGAAGGAAAGATTTGGATGTTTTTGCCTTTCACCCAAGAAAGGGATCTGGGTAGTTTTCTGGCTCTTATGACCTAAAACTTTCTGTTTGGGGAGAAAATTATCCCAGAAAATTCCTAGAGGTCTTCTATGTGAGGATTCAAACTAGAATTCACACTAGAGCTCCAAGTAGCTCTTGGAGTTGTCTGCATGGATTCCTCTCACAGGACACATTTATTCTGTGAAATCAAGACTTTATCTGCTCACACAGCTGATGAAGAGAGCAGTTATCACAAAACCTGAATATTTGATATGTAAACCTGCTCCTTTTAAAAAAAAATTCTTGAAAACAAATGCTATTCAGAACATTTGTGCTAATTTAAAAGTATCTTGGACAAATGAAACCTGCTCCTTTAAAAAAACATCCTTGAATCCTTGAAGATAAATGCTATTCAGGACATTTGTGCTAACTTAAAAGTATCTTGGACAAATGCTTCAATTGATGATTTATGCTGTAAGACTGTATGCTGTATTTATAGAAAAGTTTTCAAAGCTTGCAGCATTCCTTGAGTAAAATATACATCATGTGGAGCAAATCATTGTATATTTGTAGTGTGGCATGCAGATATCTGCATATTTACAGATATTTACAGCACATCTCTGCCTGCCTGCAAGTCACAGCACAACACTTAAAGTGATGGAACACACAGGGATAACAGTGAGGCTTGGTAATACAGAAGGAAAGAAAAAGGAAAGATTTGGATTGTTTTGCCTTTCACCTGAGACAGGGATCTGGGTAGTTTTCTGACTCTTATGACCTAAAAATTTCTGTTTGGGGAGAAAATTATCCCAGAAAATTCCTAGAGGTCTTCTATGTGAGGATTCAAACTAGAATTCACACTAGAGCGCCAAGTAGCTCTTGGAGTTGTCTGCATGGATTCCTCTTACAGGACACATTTATTCTGTGAAATCAAGACTTTATCTGCTCAGCTGATGAAGAGAGCAGTTATCACAAAACCTGAATATTTGATATGTAAACCTGCTCCTTAAAAAAAAAAATCCTTGAAAACAAATGCTATTCAGAACATTTGTCCTAACTTAAAAGTATCTTGGACAAATGCTTCAATTGATGATTTATGCTGTAAGACTGTAGTTATAGAAAAATTTTCAAAGCTTGCAGCATTCCTTGAGTAATGTGGAGCAAATAATTATATTTGTTGCAAATAATTATATTTGCAATATAATAATTATATTGCCATATTTGTAGTGTGGCATGCACAGATATCTGCATATTTACAGATATTTACAGTGAAGCCAGCAGTTATCTGCTCAGGCAGCTGATGAAGAGAGCAGTTATCACAAAACCTGAATATTTGATATGTAAACCTGCTCCTTTAAAAAAAATAAATCCTTGAAAATAAATGCTATTCAGAACATTTGTGCTAACTTAAAAGTATCTTGGACAAATGAAACCTGCTCCTTTAAAAAAAAATCCTTGAAAACAAATGCTATTCAGAACATTTGTGCTAACTTAAAAGTATCTTGGACAAATGAAACCTGCTCCTTTAAAAAAAAATCCTCAAATCCTTGAAAACAAATGCTCTTCAGGACATTTGTGCTAACTTAAAAGCATCTTGGACAAATGCTTCAATTGATGATTTATGCTGTAAGACTGTATACTGTATTTATAGAAATTTTTCAAAGCTTGCAGCATTCCTTGAGTGAAATATAAAGAAGAAAGAAGCTAAAGAAGTACCAACATCTTCAGAGGAAATCTAAGAGTTGCAGAGTGAGTTCCCAAAGCCCAGGCAGGCTCTGGCTATGTGGGAAAACAAATCAAAGCCTGGTGCCATCCCTAATGGGAACCAGAGAGGGAACCTCAGCACAGCCTCACAGAAATACACAGGCACATTTTCAAATCTAAATAGGGCATTTAACAGCAAACAAAACCACAGAGCTGGGGCTCCTCTTGCAAACCACATTGGCAGAGAAAGATGAGAAAAGTTCTCTTTAAATGGGGTGAAATTCCTTCTTGTTGTGCTCCTTGCCAGTGATGTTCATACCCAGCACGGCCTCTGAGCCCAGCTATTGCTGATTTAGCACTGAATTTAGAAATGCTGGACATGGCACTGCCATGCTGTGGCCCAGAGCAGGCACCTCACCTTTGCTGGTGTTGGTAAGAGAAAAGAATCAGCTGAAGAAACCAGATTGTGTCCCTAGAACACTTCAAAAAGAGCCATGGCCAGCTAATGAAAACGTTCTTTTGCAAAGTATTTAGCATTGAATTTAGAAATGCTGGACATGGCACTGCCATGCTGTGGCCCAGGGCAGGCACCTCACCTTTGCTGGTGCTGGTAAGAGAAAAGAATCAGCTGAAGAAACCAGATTGTGTCCCCTAGAACACTTCAAAAAGAGCCATGGCCAGCTCATGAAAACATTATTTTGCAAGCTTTACAAAGTATTTAGCATTGAATTTAGAAATGCAGGCATCTCACCTTTGCTGGTGTTGGTAAGAGAAAAGAATCAGCTGAAGAAATCAGATTGTGTCCCTTAGAACACTTCAAAAAGAGTCATGGCCAGCTAATGAAAACATTCTTTTGCAAGCTTTACAAAGTATTTAGCATTGAATTTAGAGATGCTGGACATGGCACTGCCATGCTGTGGCCCAGAGCAGGCACCTCACCTTTGCTGGTGTTGGTAAGAGAAAAGAATCAGCTGAAGAAACCAGATTGTGTCCCTTAGAACACTTCAAAAAGAGTCATGGCCAGCTAATGAAAACATTATTTTGCAAGCTTTACAAAGTATTTAGCATTGAATTTAGAAATGCAGGCATCTCACCTTTGCTGGTGTTGGTAAGAGAAAAGAATCAGCTGAAGAAATCAGATTGTGTCCCCTAGAACACTTCAAAAAGAGCCATGGCCAGCTAATGAAAACGTTCTTTTGCAAGCTTTACAAAGTATTTGTACAGTTCTTAGGAACAGCAATAAAAAGTCAAAGCTCAATGGAGCCACAGATTTCATGATTCTCTTTCAGAATTCTTTTATTTTAAGCTACTATTCCTGACATAAGCACTGCAGAAGGTCACAGCCTTATATTTTTTCCTAAAGTCTTTAGTAGAAAGTGTGAAAATAGGTCTTAGGGGAACAGAATATTAGACAAGATTTGGAAAAAGAATAAAGGAAGAAATGCAGCATCCTTAGGGACTGAATTTAAAGCTCCACACTTTCCTGTAAAACACATTCCATGCCTGAGTCAAGCAAATATTTCCATGCAGGAGCCACATTCCTGTTTTCTCTGTGTAAATTCTGTATCCTATGAACATGAGAGCCCCAGAGCTGGCCCAGCCAGGAATGCTGCCCCAGTGATGCATTTCAAATTAAGAAACCATGACTGGGAGAAAATCTTCATTAGGAGATACTGACAGGTTTAATAAAAACTCAGTTATAAGTGTTTGGAGACAAATATTTTAAAAAAATTAAAATGGTAAAGGGTTTTTGCTAATTAACTGTAAAGCCATGGACACCCATCACTCCTCAGTTCCAGGGCAGATCACACAAACATCACACCTCAAAAACACTGAGGTGACAGCCCTGAGCAGGCAAATTCCACTCCTGGCTTCTGTTACTCATGGTTTTCACCAGATTCTGGCTGACAAGTGTAAATACATTAAAAAAAACCCCCAAAAAACCCCCAAAAAACTAAATCATGCAAAAAGTGAGAAGAATCCACTCCCCCAAGCCTCCTTGCTCAAATTTGGCTTGTGCTGGAGGCAAAGGCCCAAAATTGCTTTGCTCTACCTAAACCAAATCCCAAAAATATGTTTTCACCACAAAAACCACTGTAGAAAATAGTTTTTACACAGAACTCTACATAACTGATTAGAAGGAAACTACACTTTGTTTGAAAGAGAAAAAAGCCACTACACACAAAGCAAAAGCAGCTAAGAGCAAGGGAAATAGAGACATTTCCCAAAGAACTGATTTCAGCTGCATGAAGCAGAATGATAAAAAATGGTAATAAAATGATAAAAAATGACAATAAAAATGCCAAGTGTTACTCAAAGATCCATGAGGACTTCCCAAAGGGTCAGTGACTGAGTGCATGACACACAAGGGGAGCTAAAGAGCCTCAGAGGTGATTTATACCCCACAGTTTAACCCTTTCTGCTCTACTCCTGCACTTACCCAGCTCTGGGCCACCTGGAATTCAAGGGAATAACTTGAATTCAACAGCAATAACTATGGTTATAAATTGAATATATAACTTGAATATAACTTGAATATATAACTTGAATATAACTTGAATATAACTTGAATATAACTTGAATATATAACTTGAATATATAACTTGGATATAACTTGGATATAACTTGGATATAACTTGGATATAACAGGAAGAACACTGGAATAACTTGAATTCAACAGCAATAACACTGCTTATAACTTGAATATAACTTGAATATAACAGGAAGAACACTGGAATAGCTTGAATTCAACAGGAATAACACTGCTTATAACTTGAATATAACAGCAAGAACACTGGAATAACTTGAATTCAACAGCAATAACACTGGAATAACTTGAATATAACCTGAATATAACAGGAAGAACACTGGAACAACTTGAATTCAATAGGAATAACACTGCTTATAACTTGAATATAACAGCAAGAACACTGGAATAACTTGAATTCAATAGGAATAACACTGCTTATAACTTGAATATAACTTGAATATAACAACAAGAACACTGGAATAGCTTGAATTCAACAGCAATAACAACGGTTATAACTTGAATATATAACTTGAATATAACTTGAATATAACTTGAATATAACAGCAAGAACACTGGAATAGCTTGAATTCAACAGGAATAACACTGCTTATAACTTGAATATAACTTGAATATAACAGCAAGAACACTGGAATAACTTGAATTCAACAGCAATAACACTGGTTTTAACCCTCCCTTCCAATTCTTTTGCTTCACAGAATCTCCTCAGCACAGCTCCAGAACAGAGAAGATGAAAGCTGATGTTGTTTGGTTTGTTGATTTTAGAGTCACACAGACTCCAGTCCCTTTCAGCATTTTATAATTTTGCAAGAAAGCCTCTGCTTTAAATGTTGCTTTAATTTTCTAGGGACTTTTAGTGAAACACACCAAAATTTTCTTCTTTAAACTCCTGTAAAAAGACAATCTTGGGGTTTTGCTGTGTGAAATCAGCAGGCCCACAGTGACAGAAACCCCACACATTCTTACCAGCTGTCAGGATGGTTTTAGCACTCTGCACTATACTGGAGGATCTCACAATTGCTGAAATGCCTGCAGAGGGAAAAGCACACACATGTTACCCATCCAGCACTTGTGTGGGGATGCACAAGTTCAATATTGTTCCACTTATACAATCAAGCCAGCCTGAAAGTAAAACATACACTGAGAAAATTTGGGGTTTGCTCTGCTTTTTCATGCTAATTAAAAGTATTCCCTAAACTATTTTAATTTATTTTATGTGTAACATACAGAAAAAAATCCCAAATCAGTATTAAAACAGACAGCAAGCAGTAGGAATTGATCAGATCCATGTATTTAGTGCTCTCATTAGCTCTGTGCTAAGATGATTAACCACAAAGGATTCAGAGTTGTTTCATCTAAGGGCTGGTAAATTCTAGAGCAGGACAAATGATCCTCCCTGTTTACTTCAACATGAAATTGGGATTTGGCACTTCTCTGGTCAAGCAGAGCTACCTCTGTAGTGCAGCTCTTCCTGGCTTTTCTAAAGTACAGCTTTTGGACATAAGGCTTGGTCACCACTTTGCACTGTGGCACATTCACTTGGCATTGTCCAGGGGTTCTTCATAGAACAGTTGGAAAAAATCGTAGTTTTTTTCAGAACTATGAAGTTCTGTTTGTTCTAACACATATAAAAGCATAGTGAGATGTACAAAACTATTCACATCACTAAATGCTTGAAAGAAATGCAGAGCTGCAGCAGGCTCAGAGCTCATCTTCCAAACTGACACATTCTGCATTGTGTATCATTTTAAATATTTTTAATTCTTGCTTCTATACTGAAGAACAAAGCTTAGCACAATGCATGTGTAAGCAAGGATACAATATTCCACTGTGAAATCATTTGAGGGGTAGGAATAGGGAAGGGAGAGGAACAAATTGTGTTGATGTAGCAAAATATCTTGGGACAATGCAATTGAACTGGAGTCATCAGCTCTGTCTTGTAGCATTCCCAAATGGCTCAGCCTGGCCTTTACCCAGATTAATCAATTAGGAAAATGCTTTGATCACAAAAGTGAAAGAATATCTTGATGTGTTCTCCTGAGGGTTTCAAGGGCAGGGCTGAGAAGATGTGTCCAGGCTGCTGCAGAAATACAAGCACAGCACCTTCAGAGCTCTGTGTGCAGCTCAAAGCCTGCTCCTGCCCCCAGACCCAGCTTTCAGCCCTCTGCTGCTCCAGCCCAGCCCAAGAAAGAAGCTGAACAGCTCCATGTCCAGGAGCAGCTCATCCCAGGCTGTCCATGGAGAACTGCATCATCCAGGAGCTTCATTTGCCCCCAGAAACCAGGCTGAGCTCCCTGCTTAGTGTCTGGTGGCTCCCAGATCCCTTGGGAAGTTTTGCTGTGCTCATGGAGCTTGCAAAATTTCCTACCTGGAACAGAAAACGTGCCAGGTTCTTCAAATGCACAAAGGAGCCCAAGTACTGAACTTTTTCATTTTTCTGCAGTGGAGCAGAGCACTGGTGTGTGCAGCATCAGCTTGAACTTGCTCACATGACATCATGGTGCCTCAGAGCAGTTGTGCTGATGAGAAGCACCTCAGCCTTTTCCCTGCAGCTGGAGCTCTGTGCCAGGGCTCACATGTCTGGGCTAACCCCCATGAGTGCCAAGGGAAATGTCAGCAAGGCACAGAATTACCTCAGCCTTGCAGTCTCTGACTGGGAGGATTGAAACCTCAGTATTCTGAGGAAGTTTTACCTGTGGTGATCACTATTATCCCTTAAATTCTGCCATGAGTGCCAAGGGAAATGTCAGCAAGGCACAGAATTACCTCAGCCTTGCAGTCTCTCACTGGGAGGATTGAAAGCTCAGTATTCTGCTGAAGTTTTGCCTGTGGTGATCACTATTATCCCTTAAATTCTGCCATGAGTGCCAAGGGAAATGTCAGCAAGGCACAGAATTACCTCAGCCTTGCAGTCCCTCACTGGGAGGATTCAAACCTCAGTATTCTGAGGAAGTTTTACCTGTGGTGATCACTATTATCCCTTAAATTCTGCCATGAGTGCCAAGGGAAATGTCAGCAAGGCACAGAATTACCTCAGCCTTGCAGTCCCTCACTGGGAGGATTGAAAGCTCAGTATTCTGAGGAAGTTTTGCCTGTGGTGATCACTATTATCCCTTAAATTCTGCCATGAGTGCCAAGGGAAATGTCAGCAAGGCACAGAATTACCTCAGCCTTGCAGTCCCTGACTGGGAGGATTGAAAGCTCAGTATTCTGAGGAAGTTTTACCTGTGGTGATCACTATTATCCCTTAAATTCTGCCTCTTTCAGGATGCAAACCAAAACACCTCTTTCTGTATCACTAGGAATGCTATTGATAAGATTTCAGATAACCTGTCTGCAATCTAACCAAACTCAGGCTTTCAGGAATGTATTTCATTATGATCTCCTGGATTTTTTCCCCCTTCTCTTTAAGCCACCTGAAACAGGAGAGCACATACAATAGATTTGTGTATCTATCATGCCTTAAAGGAAATTACAGACACTGGTCCAGACCTACCTTGATGCACCAGATATCCACAGTCAGGGTCATGGGCAACTTGCAGTAAAATTTCTTCCACGTCTCTGTTCTTTCCAGGAGGGTTTACCAGAGCAGTTATCTTTTGTTGCAGAGTCTTTGGCAAAGCCATAAGTTGTGTAAACTGACCTTCTGGACTTTTATCAATCTGAAGGTTATAAAAGTAAGACATGAAAAACATTCAGTTCTCTTTTTTTCAAGTTAGAAAATTGACCTCTGATACATCTCACAGAACCTGATCCATTTCACTGAAAAGGTCCTTGACAATGGTAATAAAAACTTCCCAAGAACAGGGAAATGCAGCATCTCAGTTTTCAACTTGAAGAATGAGTCACTGCAAGGGTTTTTATTCAAAGGAAGACACACATGATCTTGCTGTGTCTGCAAGTAAATGTTCATTGAAACTCTATCATTTCTGTTGTATCCAATTTCCTCTGGAAACATAAGCACAGCACAATAAAAAAAAGCTCCCCAAAGACCCCTCAGCTGAGTTTCTTCTGCCTGAATATAATCAAACTGCAGACACACACACACACTTCAAGTTTAGCTAGAAAACCATTTTCTCTGCTTTAAACTCCAAACCACATCTGGTTTGTATAATTTGAAGAAAACATTCATCCCACATTTTGCAATCTAAATCAGAAATCCAAGGAGGCTTTTTTGAATACAATGATACCAACGTGCAGGCCTGGACAGATTTCTCCAAAATGCAATGCACCATGGGGCAGAGCTCTCCAAAAGAGGAGGAAAATCTGAAGAGCTCCATTCCTCCCACACAAGGTTTTAGCCACTTCATGGAGACATCAGACAGGAGCCTGATTGCCCTCTCCACTCCCTTTTGTCAGCGTGGAGAAAATGATCTCCAGATGAGTCAGCCCCAACTGCAGAGGCAGCCAGAGGGAGCAGCTCTGAGCTCTGTGTGGGAGGAATCTGTGCCTCAACCCGAGCTCAGGGCTGGGCTCTGCCTTCCCTGCTTCTGGGGGACCCCTGAAGAAGGAATTGTCTCTGTGAGAGAGAGAATTCTCTGTTCCTGGACAAGGGGGTTCCATTCTGTTAACTGCACCCCAGCAGCCCTGAGCCACCCCAGCCCGGGCAGGAGCTGCCAATAAGCACAGCAAGGTGTGAGCAATAAAGCATGAAATGCTTGATTAAATGCCCTCATTTTGCTGTTGATTTGAAGCAGTCTTGCTGACTGTTATGGGATTGTGCAGAGATTTATTATCCAGCAATAAATTTGCACTATGCTACCAGGATTTGTTTAAAGGATTTTTTTTCTTGAAGGAAGCATTACAAATTTTTTTCCATATTCATTTTAATATTGCTTGCACCAAACTGTTCACAAGCAATAAGAAAACATGGAGACAGCTGCAGGATAATACAGGTTTAGCTGTATTTTACCCCAAAGCATTGCAGTGAAACTGTTTACTGTACTCAAGCCTGCAATTAAATGAATTTCTAACAAAGACACATCCTAAAAGGTGGCATTTGGGACAGAATTAGCAAAGCTTGAGGATAAAGAGGTGCCCACATCCATGAGACCAGTGGTGCTATTTGTGACTTCATAATGAAGTTTATATCACACTTGAATATCACAAAAGGGAAAATTGCTACTGAGTGTGGCATCTCTCCTTTAACTGCAATGTAACACCAGAAAGATGGAATTCAAGATATTGATCACCTTGGATTTCCCAAAAAGCTAAGGAAAAATGGTTTTGTATGGGTATTAATGCCAGAATTTCACTTGGGTTTAGTCAGGTGATATTCATAGCTAGAACTTGAGGATTTTTGAATTTCCCAAAAGCTAAGGAAAAATGGTTTTGTATGGGTATTGATGCCAGAATTTCACTTGGGTTTAGTCAGGTGATATTCATAGCTAGAATTTGAGGAGGGTTTTTGTGAGATGCAGTTTTTGATTGCAGAAAGTTGCACCTCTGAGTTCCAGCCTTACCCTCTAACACAAACCATCTGTTTATTGCTACTGACTGGGGCATCTCTCCCCAGTGGAACACCAGAAAAATGGAATTCAAGATATTGATCACTTTGGATTCCTCAAAAAGCCAAGGAAAAATGGTTTTGTATGGGTATTAATGCCAGAATTTCACTTGGGTTTAATCAGGTGATTTCATAGCTGGAACTTGAGGATTTTTGGATTTCCCAAAAGCTAAGGAAAAATGGTTTTGTGTGGGTATTAATGCCAGAATTTCACTTGGGTTTAATCAGGTGATATTCATAGCTGGAACTTGAGGATTTTTGGATTTCCCAAAAGCTAAGGAAAAATGGTTTTGTGTGGGTATTAATTCCAGAATTTCACTTGGGTTTAGTCAGGTGATAACATAGCTAAAACTTGAGGAGGGTTTTTGTGAGATGCAGTTTTTGATTGCAGAAAGTTGCACCTCTGAGTTCCAGCCTTACCCTCTAACACAAACCATCTGTTTATTGCTACTGACTGGGGCATCTCTCCCCAATGGAACACCAGAAAGATGGAATTCAAGATATTGATCACCTTGGATTTCCCAAAAGCTAAGGAAAAATGGTTTTGTATGGGCATTAATGCCAGAATTTCACTTGGGTTTAGTCAGGTGATAACATAGCTGGAACTTGAGGATTTTTGGATTTCCCAAAAGCTAAGGAAAAATGGTTTTGTATGGGTATTAATGCCAGAATTTCACAGGGTTTAATCAGGTGATATTCATAGCTGGAACTTGAGGAGGTTTTTTGTGAGATGCAGTTTTTGATTGCAGAAAGTTGCACCTCTGAGTTCCAGCCTTACCCTCTAACACAAACCATCTGTTTATTGCTACTGACTGGGGCATCTCTCCCCAGCGTTACACCAGAAAAATGGAATTCAAGATATTGATCACCTTGGATTTCCCAAAAGCTAAGGAAAAATGGTTTTGTGTGGGTATTAATGCCACAATTTCACTTGGGTTTAGTCAGGTGATCTTCATAGCTAGAATTTGAGGATTTTTGGATTTCCCAAAAGCTAAGGAAAAATGGTTTTGTATGGGTATTAATGCCAGAATTTCACTTGGGTTTAGTCAGGTGATAACATAGCTAGAAGTTGAGGATTTTTGAATTTCCCAAAAGCTAAGGAAAAATGGTTTTGTATGGGTATTAATGCCAGAATTTCACAGGGTTTAGTCAGGTGATAACATAGCTAAAACTTGAGGAGGTTTTTTGTGAGATGCAGTTTTTGATTGCAGAAAGTTGCACCTCTGAGTTCCAGCCTTACCCTCTAACACAAACCATCTGTTGATTCCTCACTTCCTAGCCTGTCATTTCCATGTGGAATCCATTAGAACACACATTTTACAGTGCTCTGCTGTGCTTCCCTTGCTGGGGTCTATTCTGTGCTCATCCTCAGAGCAAATGAGCAGTAGAGCTCCTCCATATGAAAACCCTGGTATTTAAGGCAAGTCTGCTGCTTGCAGAATGAACCAAAGAACAGAAACACAACCAACAGCGAGCACAGAGCCTACAGCTGCTCTCCTGGTGCACTTGTATGACAATGTGCATGACAATTGCTGCCTTCTGTCGGTGCTGGAGCACTTGTTTGGAAGCTGTTTCAAGGAGAACACTTGCCTCAAGCCTTCCCAGCTGGTGCTTGTACACCACTTGAGGGCAGTCCTGCAGTATGGTACTGTACAGCTTCTGGAAATGGGCAATGTTGGGCTTCACTATGTTCTGCACTTTGAATCTGTCTTCTCCTATGATCATTCTGAAATCACCTAGGCAGGAAAAGAGAGAGTTAAGCTATTAGGAAAAGCCCAAAATGATGAAGGAGAATATAAGAGAAATCAACACAGTATAGAGCTGTCATCTAAATCTCTACTCTCCAATATTATGGATGCCAATATAATCCACAAAAATCATCTTCTCAGAGTAAAAAAAAAAAAAACTATTCAAACACCTTCAAGCACAGAAAAAATGTCCTTGAAGACACTTATTGTTCTGTAGCTCTGATACAATGTCATCAGCCTGCCTGTCCACATCTTCACTTGGAAACAAAATCATTCCAGCTGTCAAGTAACAGTTGCAGTCTTGGCAAACATGACCTCAGTCTCAACAATTACCAAACAAATTGCCCAGTTTTCATACCCTGTATCCACAAGCAAATGAGCTTAAATTTTCCAGCTTGAGAGGTAATAATTAGCATTGTTTCTGCTCTCCAAGGGCAGTACCTGGAGCTCAGCTATCAGCAGTCCTGGTGAGATCACTGGATCACTTTTTCTCTTACCTATCTATTGTGTCAGTAGTTGCAAAAAGCAATTTCTTTTAACACCACTGTTACATTCCTGGCCTTTACACTCCTTTTCAGATCCATGACTGAGAAGTTTCAAAGAGAATAAATGAAAAGCCAGGCAGTCTGTATGAAAGCATTCCACTACCTCTGTTAGGTACCAGCCTGGCTGCTTGCTGGGTTTCCAGGCAGGAGCTGGATGCTCAGTGTAGCTTGTGTCAACCACCAGAATTCTGAATCAATTCCTTTTCCCACTTCCCACATTCAGGAGATAAATGTTGTTGAAAGGTGCCAACTTGCTAGCCTTCCTTAGTTTATTTCAGTTTATGCTGAGCCACAAAACAAACACTTCACATGTAAATGGTACTGACTCAGTGCTCTCAAAAATGCAGGACAAAATAAAAGAGAAACATTTTCTAAATTAAAGCAATAACAACTCTTCTCAGCAGTCTCCAGGGAGACTGATTAGAGTAACACATAAAATCAATTTTGTCTACTAGTACAGCCTTAAGGAAATGGCAGCAAAAGAAATATCCACAAGCAGCCTTTTCCTTGTACCTTCCCAGCTGGGAGCTGTGTTGCTTCAGCTTTGCTCACACAGCACAGCCAGTCTCAGCATTTCCCTGATTTTTGTTTAATTGCACTGTTTCAAAGAGTAAATAAAAACCATTTTGGTCAGTAGTGCCCAGTAAGAATCCAGTGCTGGTGCTGGGCAGGTGAGCACTGAACATCCCTGGCTGGCAATGCCACTGTCAGCACCCTTCTCCTGGTGCTTTAAAACTGGCAACACCTCAGGAGAGAACTGCTCTGGGAGAGAAAGCTGCAACCTGAACTGCCCTAAGGAGTGTTACATAAAACAGTGACACTCCTCAGCACAGCCAAGCTGCAGCTTAGACCCCCTGTGCTTCCTTTAAAAGCCAAAACTGCATTTGTGTATGAGCCAAGGAAGTGCTGTGTCTCGGTCTCTCTGCAAGCCTCTCAAAGCCCCTGGGCCTTACCCGGGTCGGCAGAGAATGGGGGGAGCAGCCCCACCACGGCCGACAGCGGGGAGACACTGTCTGTGTGTGCCCTGAGGGTATGAGGGCACCTGGGCTGGGGGGAGACACTGTGTGTGTGTGCCCTGAGGGTATGAGGGCACCTGGGCTGGGGGAGACACTGTCTGTGTGTGCCCTGAGGGTACTGAGGGCACCTGGGCTGGGGGAGACACTGTCTGTGTGTGCCCTGAGGGTACTGAGGGCACCTGGGCTGGGGGAGACACTGTCTGTGTGTGCCCCGAGGGTGCTGAGGGCACCTGGGCTGGGGGAGACACTCTCTGTGCCCTGAGGGTGCTGAGGGCACCTGGGCTGGGGGAGACACTCTCTGTGTGTGCCCCGAGGGTGCTGAGGGCACCTGGGCTGGGGGGAGACACTCTCTGTGCCCCGAGGGTGCTGAGGGCACCTGGGCTGGGGGGAGACACTCTCTGTGCCCCGAGGGTGCTGAGGGCACCTGGGCTGGGGGCAGACACTCTCTGTGTGTGCCCCGAGGGTGCTGAGGGCACCTGGGCTGGGGGGAGACACTCTCTGTGCCCCGAGGGTGCTGAGGGCACCTGGGCTGGGGGGCAGACACTGTCTGTGTGTGCCCCGAGGGTGCTGAGGGCACCTGGGCTGGGGGGAGACACTGTCTGTGTGTGCCCTGAGGGTACTGAGGGCACCTGGGCTGGGGGAGACACTGTCTGTGTGTGCCCTGAGGGTACTGAGGGCACCTGGGCTGGGGGCAGACACTGTCTGTGTGTGCCCCGAGGGTGCTGAGGGCACTTGGGCTGGCAGGGAGACACTGTCTGTGTGTGCCCCGAGGGTGCTGAGGGCACCTGGGCTGGGGGAGACACTGTCTGTGTGTGCCCCGAGGGTGCTGAGGGCACCTGGGCTGGGGGGAGACACTGTCTGTGTGTGTGCCCCGAGGGTGCTGAGGGCACCTGGGCTGGGGGAGACACTCTCTGTGCCCCGAGGGTACTGAGGGCACCTGGGCTGGGGGAGACACTCTCTGTGCCCCGAGGGTACTGAGGGCACTCAGGCTGGTTGCCTTCGCTGCAGCAGAGACAGCAGAGACATCGGTGGAAGAGAAAGGGCCGACTCTTAGCAGGGGTTAATCCAAGGTTTTATTAGGAGTCCCGAAGGAGCTCCTGCACCTCAGGGGCCTCCTGCCGAGAGCCCCGGGGGATGTCCCAAGGTCACATTTAAAGGGAGGTGGAAACCAAAAGTAGAGAACATTTTACCAACCAATAGGTATCTCTGGGGGATGGGTGCTGGGGGATAGACATATAAAACAGCGTATGGGGCAGGGCTTGGGGGGCTGACCCCTGGCCTCTGGCTGATCACTCGATAACTTGGACAGAAACTTCTGGATGGAGGGGATGGGAGGCTGAGTGATTGACAGAGAGCCAGGGTGGGGGTTTGGGGATGATCTCATCCCAGGAGAGGGATAACACAGGTAAAGGGAGGGGGGTACAGTCTGGGATAAACCATTTGGGAAAAATATGGGAATACAAAACAAAACTACTTCAAAGTATTACAAAATATAAAAACGCACTACAACAGTGCTGGGTAAAGCACAACTCCAACCAGGCTCCTTCCCAGTAATTCCAGTAAGGATGTCAACATTTAAAATGCAATGCTGAGTTAAATTGTAACAATTACATGGTATATTGAGAAATCATTTGCAGTAGTTTTTTCAATATTTTTCTTTTTTTTAGGAAATTGGTAAGGAAACTCAACAAATACCAAGCAGGAGTGTTAAATGGAAATCAAAGAATCATAATCAGGATCTTTAAGTTAACTAAGGAAGAGCCTTGAACACAGCAGACTCAAAAAGAGATGACAAGGTATGAGTCAGACTATCAGATGACTCAACATTGCACTGAGTGCAAAGAAATTTTTTTTTTTTTCCCAAGGTTTTGAAACATTCCACCAAAACACAATCCATGCAAACAGGAGAGAACCCCCATTATTTCATCATAGCCAATCACTCACACTGAGCTGCTCATAAACCAAGCAGGTACAGGCAGCATTGCTGAGGAGCTGCACCTATTTCCTGTGAATAACCCCAATTCCTGGGGCTGTTACATAAGCACACTCAGAGAGAATTCGTGGTGCATGCAGCACTGCAGGCCCAAAGCAAGAAGGGAGATGATGATCACACCTGAGAGTCCAACTGTGCTCATCTCCAGCCCCTCTCAGCCCCCAGACTCACCAGAGTAGGAGAGGCCAGCAATCTGCAGGAAAAGGTCCTCTTCAGAGAAGCTCTCTGGCAGCATGAGGAAGGATGCTATCACTGCACTCTTCAGGTTGCTGACAAGAGCAGCTTGCAGCCTGCTGTTCTCATTCTGGGCCAGGATTTTCACCTGGAAAAGTAGAGGCATTTGGAAACAAGACCTCAGCAAAGTGCTGCTGAAGCTGGAGCTAGAAATGTTATTTATTTTTCATGCTGGATTGAGTAGGAAATTCATTTCAGAGTAGATCTTACTAGCATGGTACAACAAGTACTAGGGCATCCCCACCATGTGAGAGAGAAGAATGTGATTTTAAGAATAAATACTCTGCTAGAAAAAGCTGTTTTCACACACAGGTTTGGAAGTGCTATATGCATCAGACATGAACTAATCTCTGGCTAGTCACCTTTTCACACTTTGAATTTAAGATTAATCAGAACAGGAAAGATGAATGCATCAACAGATGTGTAATTGTGCAATAAGAAAAAAGACTATACTAAAAGAGAACAGAACACCAGACAGAATTAAGTTTTCTTCTTCTTCTTCATTCCTTTATTTTTTCATAGAGGACTCCCCTATCAAAAGCTTCAAGTGGTTTCTCAGCCAGGGGCTGTTCTAGAAGAAGCAGGGCTTTAGTTTTGCACTTGGCATCAGCAGGATGTGAACTCCAGGGGATCTTCACTCACCCATGAGGAACAGATCACTTGAATGCCTCTACCTGCCACAAGAAGTGAGTATTTTTAGGAACCTTAGGAACTTACCCATGAGGAACAGATCACTTGAATGCCTCTACCTGCCACAAGAAGTGAGTATTTTTAGGAACCACTGAAACTGCTCAAGACCAGCTAGAGAATCCAATCAGCTAGGCTATGGCAACACACTGGAATAAAAAGCAGATCTGTGGTAAGAACTGAAGACAGAAACACTGGCAGATGAAGGGAAGCTGTTTTGGGAGATGGGTAACTGTGCACTTCCAGAAACAACTGCCCTAGGAATCCCTGCTTGCTGGGAGTTTGTCTTTTTCAAGTGTTCTGGTTAAGCAATCCTGTGCTGCCTATAAAAGGCAGCTTTTTACTGTTTGTCTATTGTACAACACCTTGGTGAACAAAGGTATCCTCCTGATTTTTCTCAAATCTCACCAAGCAATTCACTTAGATGTACAGTCCTAACTTGCTGCTCCAGGGAAATCTAAGGGAAGTCAGAACAGGGAAATCTGTGCTGGCACCCCAAGCAGCCCCACAGGTGACTGCAATACCTTAGGATTGCCATGGAAACATCAGCAAGTTAAGGACACCACAGTTAGAGCCTTATAAAACATGAAACTCAGCAGAGAGGCTATTCCTCCTCATGGAAGACACCAGCCTTGCCTTAGAGAAGCAAAAAGAATAACCTCCTCCTTTTCTAAACCACCCCCCAAATACAAAGCAGGATTTTTTTGGAAAGAAAATAAACCAGCAGGATTTTTTGGAAAGAAAATAAACCAGCAGGCTTCAAAATCTGAATGCCTGAAACACTGATAGCATTTAGGAACAAATTTTCCATGGTTCAGAGAGCTGCAAATCTCCCAGGAAGTCAGAGTGCAATGGTTATCCCCCTGGTAAAACATGAGCGTTGATTCTTGGGGTAAATCTGACAGCACCACAGTGCAGGAAGGCTTTCCACAGTACACAGAATTTATATTCACTGTACCCTGTCACAAACCAAAGCAGCAGCAAATGCAGCTCCACTGAAAACAGCTGTTGACTATTCACTGTTGAAGTGCCCTCCACAATTCTCCCTCCAGGTCTCTCTCTCAATGGATGAAGTTCCCTCCTTGACAAAGATAACAGCTGCTCTAACCTGCATCATGCTGTAAGACATCTCTGGAGATAAAGGAGCAGTCTGAGACAATCCATTCAAACGTTCCCTCCCAGGTTTTTAGCTAAAAGCATAATGAACTTCTCTTCCAAGACCTGAGCAGATTCCTCCTCTAATTCTCCCCCTCTCCTCATCACAGATTTTTCCCTTAGCACTGCTGCCACCTGCTGAAAGCACAACGAGGCAGGCACAAGGGGGAAAGCAAAGGTTATTTTTTGGGGTCCAAACATGCAGAAGCCATGGTTCATTCAATTATGAACCAGCCAGTAACTGCACAGCAAAGCTGCTTTCATCTTGAAAGATTTCCATTCTTTAGCTGTGTTAAATTTTGGCCACCCCTCTAATCTCTTATAAAAGGCAACTAATATGTTTAACATTAAAGGGACTTGGCATTAATAGAGTTATTCAAGATTTCCTCCAGGCAGAAAACTGTTGTTAATCTACTCCCCTTTAGGGGTTCTTTTTCCACAGCCCCTCATTAGGAACTCCATTTCACCTCCTCTCTGAGACATTATCCTTCTGGGGCTGCATCCCTAAATCAGGGCAGATGATTTCAGCACAGATCCCTGACAGATAAAGTTCAAACTCCCAGAGATTCTTTTCCAGCCCTGTAATTTCCTGCATTTCCAGAGAGAAAAGGGAGCAGTTACCGGCTTCTGCAGGCGCCCAGCCACATAGAGAGTTTTCCAGTGGAGCAAATCTTCAATCAGGGCATCAGTGCTAATTACTCCATATTTTATCATCTGCAAAAAACCACAGCAAAATAAAGGCTTTGGAAAAAACTTATACCTGCACTGTTTTCTCTACATGGAACTTACTACTTGCTATAACTGTCCTTAATCCTAAGGCACACACACCTCCAATAAAAAACTGGAAAACATTTTTATGTTTTAACTAACAAACGAGGTAAAAGAAAAATCTCCTATTTAAATTCCAATTTTTGCAGGGAGAAAATGGAATGCATGAAACTAAGATCCTTTCTAGAATCAAAGCTGCAATAAAGTCAGCAGCCAAATATACAATATACAATAGCTGGAATAATATACAATATACAATAGCTGGAATAATATATAATATGCAATAGCTGGAATAATGTATAATATACAATAGCTGGAATAATTATAATATACAATAGCTGGAATAATATATAATATGCAATAGCTGGAATAATGTATAATATACAATAGCTGGAATAATTATAATATACAATAGCTGGAATAATATATAATATGCAATAGCTGGAATAATATACAATAGCTGGAATAATATATAATATACAATAGCTGGAATAATATACAATATACAATAGCTGGAATAATATATAATATACAATAGCTGGAATAATCCAGATTAGCCTTTATGATATTAAAAATATAATAAAAATAGGAGTTATTTTTATCTCATAAAAATAGAATTTTTATATAATAAAAATTGAATGTATTAAAAATATTTTCAAATACTCAAGCAATAGTTTGTCAGAGACCTAAATTAAAACCTCAAGACATTTATGTATCCTGTTATTGGGAGGTGGGGTGTGTATCAAGGAGTTGTTTCTTTTCCTCTTTGATATTAAGAAAAAAAAAATTGTGATTTTGCAGTTTATTTTATGTAACTGCAGGAAAAACCAGGGGACTTTCCACAGTTTGTTACCAATCTGCAGTAGCTGAATTTTCAAAGATTATGGCCACAGCAAGCTCCAGAATTTCTGGATACCAAAAGGACCACAGGCTGTGGCATGACTGAGTCATTAGAACAGAAGAGCCAAGAACACAAAGTCATGGCAAACACCACTTCAAATGAAATCCCAAATCCCTTTTTGCATCAAACAAATAAGGTTTAAACCCCAAAATCTCATACAGGGACAAGAACAGCAAGACTGACAGTGCTTCCCTCAGTCCTCCCTACCAAACACAGAGGTGCAGGAACAGGGCTGCTGGGCAAGAAGCACTCAGCAGAATTATTGATTCCACCCAAGGCTCACAGGGCAGAACATGAGGCACTAAACAACACAAATGTAATTCCACCTTGCTGCTGTAACCTGCATTTTATACCCAACAGCCCACTTTGCTGTTCCTGCATGGTCAGCTGCTGAAATGAAGCACCACCAAAACCTCACCACCACCAAAAGTGGCAGGCAGAAAGCAATAAGGAATATAAATCCAGTTCCTGAAATGCCTTAGCTCTAAGTTCCAAACACTGCTCACACTCCTAAGGTGTAAGACAGGCTGCTCTGTTTGCTTTTTAATTAAAATGCTGTTAGTGAAGCAGTTTGAGACACAAATACTGAAGATACCACGAGTTAATCTACAATTACAATCTGCAATATTTGCTTCCTGAAATCTGCTTTAAGCTCATCATTTTAATACTTCACAGACATAAATATTTGACTTCATTACTCACACTACTTGTACTTACCCTGCCATTGCATGGCACTAAGGTGTTGTAGTAAATCCCTGCTCCATATCCCTGTATGGTACTTATCTTTTTGGGCCCAAAAAATTTAAGGAAGGAATAATGACTCCTGTTCTTTAACAAGTTTGTCATATGCCAGGTCACAACATCATCAACAGCAAACACGAAGTCCAGCATATTTGTCTGAGGAGAACAAGAGAAGTGGTGGGGTTTAAATGTCAAGAAGAACCAATGTTATCATAATAATTTAAGATATGCACAGTATCAAACTTCCAGCTAAATATTTTTCACGAGTAAAAAAATAAAAATAAAATCCAAACCACAAGTATTAATGTCAGATACAGTTCAAAGGTTCCAGTGAAGATGTATGTTCATAGTCAAGTATATCAGACAGTCCAAAATTTTCTTGTCCTGGTCAAGACCAAACTTCAACCCTCCAAAACAGGGGAGCAGGTGTGAGATGTTCAGCACCCAAGCCCACAGCTCAGTGGAACAGCTCACAGTTTTAATGAACAGCACTTTTTGGCCATGAATGGGGGAATGTGGGCAGATAAAGGCACCACCCGAGAGCTGGCAGCGAGGAACCGCATTTCTAGGATATTCCTTTGTAATGCATTCCTTTGCTTTTGTCAACAAAACCCCAAAAATAAAAATAACCATTATTTCCAAGCTGTTGGCCCTCAGAAGATGAGGAAGCTCCCTAGACTGCCATTTCAGTGCGGCAATAGATTTGAAATTCCCCTCACCCGATGCACAGCAGTTGCACGAGCCGCAGTAACTCTAAAAGCACAGGTAAACAACCTGATACACACCGGGCTGAGAGGGACCCCGAGCCCCCCACACTGACAGCCGGGACCGCCCTGGGCCGGACACCCGCCCCATGCCATTCCCTGGGGGTTTGGGATCGCTGCCCCTCGCCGTTCACAGCCGCAGGGCCGGAGCGGCGCCGGGGCGCGGAACGCCGCGGGGCCCGAGCGCTCACCTCGCCGTGCTCGGCCGAGGCCCCCGCCTGCCGGAACACCCCGGAGCCGTAGGCGAAGGCCAGGCTGAGCTCCTGCGGGAAGTGCGCCAGGACCCGGCGGAACTTCACGGCCGAGCTGGACAGCACGGGCAGCGCCATGGCCCCGGCCCCGGGCCCGCCCGGCCTGGCCCGGCCCGGCGCTCCCGCCCACCGGCGGCGGGAGGAGAGGCCGCGACGGGGAAGCGGCCGCGCCGCGCTGCGCCCCCTGCGGCCCGGCCTGGGCATGGCGTGCTGGGGGGCGCTGACAGGGACCCGCTCCGCGTCCCCTCGGTGCTCAGCGTCCCCTCGGTGCTCCACTCATGGCACCCTCAGTGCTCGGTGTCCCCTCAATGATCAGTGTCCCCTCAGTGCTCCGCTGAGTCCCCTCAGTGCCCAGTATCCCCTCGGTGCTCCACTCAGCGTACCCTCAGTGCTCCCCTCAGGGTCTCCTTTGTGCTCCACTCAGTGTCCCCTCATTGTCCCCTCAGTGCTCCACTCAGGCTCCCCTCAGTGCTAGCCTCATGGTCCCCTCAGGCTTCCCTCATGGTCCCCTCAGTGCTCCCCACAGGGTACCCCCAGGGTCCCCTCACTGTCCCCTCAGGGTCCCTTCATGCTTCCCTGAGGGTCTTCGCAGTGCTCCTCACAGGGTACCCCCGCTGTCCCCTCAGAGTCCCCTCACTATCCCTTCATGGTTCCTTCAGGCTTCTCAGAAGGTCCTCTCACTGTCCCCTCACGGTCCCTTCAGGATTCCCTGAATGTCCCCTCACTGTCCCCTCACTGTCCCTTCAGGCTTCTCTGAATGTCTCCTCACTGTCCCCTCATGGTCCCCTCAGTGCTCCCCACAGGGTACCCCCAGCGTCCCCTCACTTTCCCCTCATGGCTTCAGGCTTTCCCTTCAGGCTTCCCTGAATGTCCCCGCACTGTCCCCTCACTGTCCCTTCATGGCCTCTTCAGACTCCCCTGAATGTTCCCTCACTGTCCCCTCATGGTTCCCCTGAGCTGTGCTGTCCCACCAAACCAAGCACGCTGAGGTGATGCTCAGCATGTGGGCCTAACATTTAGTTTTCCCCTCACCGTTGCTTCATCTTAATTTTTTTAGGTCATCACAATTCTGCACCCCTTCTTCGATTGTTTTTCCTCCTCTTTCTTTTTAATTTTTTTTTTTAATTAATATTTTATTCTGTTCCGAGGCTTTCCTCAGGACTTGTTGCCGGCGTTCCAGTTCTTCACACATCCCCCAGGGAACACAAACACAAACCCACAGCTTTTAATCATCGTGGCTGTGCTCAGGGCTGTCTCACGCTCTCCTCGTGCTAAGCCTGCCTTGGTTTGAACGTTCAAGTCCTACACAATAAACCTGTCTGGGCTCTGTGTGAGTGCTAAATGTTTAAATGGGCCTCATGAAATTGAAGCGTGCCTTGTTCCCTCATGATTTTACACTTCCCTGCATCTGGTACCCAAAAATCACATTTTATCTTCCTGTGGTTTATGGCTTTCAAAATTCCCTACCTGAGGTCTGAGGGAAGGCTGGCAGTCAGAGATAAATTTATGCTCTCACTAAATTCCAAACACAGTAAGATTTTTAGACATCACTGGGCTCACAGTATCTGATGAAAACAAATATGAAATGTTCTGTAACTTTGTTACACCCAAGAAAATTTGATATACACAGCTAAGCCACCACCATACAATTATTATTCTGGAGACAGATAAACTTATGATAAATGGTGCAGTGGGAATTTTGGGAGAGAGCACCTGAAGCAAGAGAACAATCTTGCATTGCCAAACAAGGTAAAACTTTAATGATTTGAGGCACTTTCCACCATAAAACTGCACCAGAGCTCTACTTTTCTGAGCTTTTCTACATCAAATGATGCAGCCAGAGACCCTTCTGAATATTCACTTTCAGAGGAGAAACCATAGCATGCTAGGAGAAATGTGTTTATATTAGAAATAACCACATTATAGCTAATGAATTTTTATTATTCTGAATAATAAAGTCCCAAAGGTGCAATTATGGCTGGGGTTTGGAGACTTTTGTTCTCCCCCAGGACTGTGATTCAGTGCCCAGTAATGTCTCTGAACTGATTTAGCTGCTCATAAGTCAGACCATGGATGTTGTTCTTTCTTTAGTAAAAGTATTTTAGTTATTAAAGATATTAATAACACATTGATATTAAATGCTACATCAATATATTAAGTATACATATATTATGTATATTATATACATATATATGTATGTGTATATGTATATAATATACATATATTAACTATAATTAATAATTATTATTTAAATACTTCATGGCCCACGATATAAAGAACAGCAGACTTTTTGAGCTTACATTTTAAGTTTTTTCCTACATCTTAGGTTAGCCAAAGATTTTGCATTACTTCTTAGAGAATGATCTAACTCTACAGAACAATTTATGGAAGTACACACGTGAACATTTTGGTGATATAAGTAACTGGTATTGCTTGGCTGGTTCTTTTTGGCTGATTATTTAGAAAACTTCATTCAAAAACTTTCAAATATCTATACTAACTTACTGGTCAAGTGTGTTTTCTAAATTTTTTCACCTTCTTTGCTGCTATAAAGAAGCCTAATTTTATTAAATCAAAATAGAAGCTGAAGGCCTTTATATATATTTTTATAGATAGTATGGAACTAGAACACACTCATTCTAATAAATAATAAAAAAGGGGAAGATTCTTTGAAATTTAACAGGCAGGTAACCTTTCAGAAGGAAGTTACACTGCTTGCTGACATTAAAAATTAAGATAACAAAGCAAACTTTTGAGAGGGTACGATAGCTGGGGATTTTTTCCTTGGATATTTGTATATTAGAGAAAATCTGGGGAAGAAGTTGCTCAAATATTGCAGAATAGTCCATCTCCACCCTTACCTTGCCAGCTCAAATTCTCTCCTTGAGGCTACCAAGGTGGATTTTGTTCAAAAAACTTAAAGGCTCTGTTTTTCAACTTGTTCTTTGCTATTCTTCCTTAGCTGACTTTTATGTAGTTTAAGCTAAATCTAAAGTTTGTTTCTTGCATCTACTGCTGGCTTTTAAATTGATTTTGTTCCCAGCAGCACAGGCAGTGTCGAGATGAATTGTCATCTGGGCAGAAGCTCAGAGCTCATCTGAAAGTTTATGTAAAGCTCTGTTACGTCTCATACTGATTCTGAACTCGGCCTCTAATCTGTTTTTCAGTGGAAGTTTTGCTGTGCTAACTTTGGTAAGAAAGCCTACAAACACCAGAAGGTCTTCAGTCTGATTTTCACTCTCAGCCAGCACTGCTGATGAAGGGAGCAGTTTTCTCTCCCTGCTTCTATCAGTGTAGGTGTTTGCGTGGCTGCAGATCAGAACAGACTGGGGAATTGATGTGGGTTCAAACCAACTGTTTGGGGTGCTTGGGGCTTGTTAAACCAGTCTAGTTTTAACCAGGTCACTGTGTGCTTCACCACACATGTTTGTGTTGGTATAAGCAGGAGAGATCTCTTCTTCTGTTGACAGTGCTGGTTCAAAAGAGAAAAGTCCTTGTTTGGGGATTTTTTAACAGAATATTCGCACTTAAAATCTTGGCTATGATTGATCCATGCATTAAAGTTGTGTAAGGAAGGAAACAGCATTCTGCATATTGCACAGTCTTTTGCTTTTATTCATTCCCTTCCAGCCAAGCAAGTTCTAATACTTACTACAGAGAGCATGACAGGAGTGTTACCTTGAGCCTTTATTTCATTTTTTGGCAATAAAATGCACACTTTGAATAGCCCCCACATAAATGCATGTGTAGTTTTTATCTTTTTCTGCCTTGCCACCCCTGTGCTCTCCAGCTCCTTAGAGAGAAGGAGTCTCACAGAGATTGACTCTATTCAGTATCTGAATATCTCTAAAGAGAGACATTTGCAGCTCACTGTATCTATTGCACAATAGAAAATTCCAGTTTGGGTCTTCACAGAGTTATCTTAATAACAGCATTTTCAATTAAAAGAATAGTTTCACTAACTTACTATGGGAATGTGAGTACTCACAGTCTGTCAGCCCATGAGCTGGTGGCAGTCTGGAGCTGGGCTCAGCTCTGCTGTGTGGCTCTCGGTGCAGCTGGGGAATGCTGTGCTTTGGGAGGTGCTGGGTTCCTCACTGACGCTGGCTTTGCTGCCCCACAGGCTGCTCAATCCGTTCTTCCTCTGCTCTGGCCTCCGTGGATCTTCCTCCAACAAAACTGACAACTTTGTGCCCTTGGGTTTGGCAGCAGTGGGGAATCTGTCCTACTTTTCCACGGCATGTGTCTGTTTGGTGGAGGTGGCAGACTCCTGTGAGTGTAGAGTTGTTTCTTGCCTGTAACCGTTAAAAAATTCATTTTCATAAAGTAGTGGCAGCATCTGGAATCAGCAACTCATGTTGTTTGTTTGAAATTTCTGTGATTGCACTATTTGAAATTCTCCATCACTCCATCTTTTATTTATTTAAAGCATGGGTTCTGGTAATTGTCGCTGGTGCAGCTGCACACACATCTGACTTGGATTGCTGTTTTTATATGCTAACAACTAAACACCACCAGGTGTCCTCTGTTTCTCTACCAGATCTGAACTACCTCCTGGAGATCCTCCTCTGGCTTGGAAAATGCTCATTTTAAACAAACCCCAGGGGTGGGGGTGGCACACAACCCTTTTCCTCAGCTTTGAGGAGGTTGTGGTGTGCAGCCACTTGGGAGTGTTAGAGGATTTGTACTGTGTGGTACATTTTGGTAGCACAGCTTTCCCCCTCACCCCCACAAGCTTTTTTGTGACTCTGTGGTTCATCAGTGTCCAAGGGGTTGTTTTCCAGCAAGGACAGAGGAGTAGCTGGGAATTTCCAGGTGTCTGTTCCATCAAGGACACAGCAGTAGCTGGCTATTTCCAGGTGTCTGTTCCAGCAAGGACACAGAAGTAGCTGGCTATTTCCAGGTGTCTGTTCCATCAAGGACACAGCAGTAGCTGGCTATTTCCAGGTGTCTGTTCCATCAAGGACACAGAAGTAGCTGGCTATTTCCAGGTGTCTGTTCCATCAAGGACACAGAAGTAGCTGGCTATTTCCAGTGTCTGTTCCATCAAGGACACAGAAGTAGCTGGCTATTTCCAGTGTCTGTTCCATCAAGGACACAGAA